AACCACAGAGCCTAGGACTTGCCGATCAGAAGGTTGGCGGTTCGAATCCCCGTGACGGGGTGAGCTCCCGTTGCTCGGTCCCTGCTCCTGCCAACCTAGCAGTTCGAAAGCATGTCAAAGTGCAAATAGATAAAAAGGTACCGCTCTGGCAGGAAGGTAAACGGCATTTCCGTGCGCTGCTCTGGTTCGCCAAAAGCAGCTTAGTCATGCTGGCCACATGACCCGGAAGCTGTACACCGGCTCCCTCGACCAATAAAGCAAGATGAGCACCGCAACCCCAGAGTCAGTCACAACCGGACCTAATGGTGAGGGGTCCCTTTACCTTTACCTTTAAGTAGGGATCTGGTCATTAGTATAAGACAGGGGTCAGCAAACCTTTAAAGCAAGGGGCTGGTCCACTGTCCCTTAGACCTTGTGGGGGGCCGGACTATATTTGGGGGGGGGTGAATGAATTCCTATGCCCCACAAATAACCCACAAATAACCCAGAGATGCATTTTAAATAAAAGCACACATTCTACTCATGTAAAAACACCAGGCAGGCCCCACAAATAACCCAGAGATGCATTTTAAATAAAAGGACACATTCTACTTATGTAAAAACATGCTGACCATCCACGGGCTGGATTTAGAAGGCGATTGGGCCGGATCCAGCCCCCAGGCCTTAGTTTGCCTACCCATGGTATAAGAAATGAAGTTGCTTTGTGCCAGAGGGCAAATGGGTGCCTCCACCTCACCTGGCTGGTATTAAGAAATACAATAGCCAGAGTGGGGAGCATGTAAGCTGGGCTAGAAGCAGGCAAAAGCCAGAGAGTGAGAGAGCCATGCCTGATTTCTGCTGGAATCCAAGGCTGTGGCTATGGGAAAAGCAAGACTTTCTGGGGAGTAAATCCTGTGAACCCCTCCATCTTTTGCACAGATTGTATATATGTGTCAATAAACAATATATCCTAAAACCACCACAGTCTCTGCTGCCCCTCATTCAAAGGAAACAGGTAAGTGCCTGGAATTCCTGGAATCTTGCACTGCTCAGGGATTGGGGTGGCATGCAACAGTATTGTTGAATGCTAGATAGTTTGGGTTTCCACCACTGAACCTCATGTCTTGGGTTAGCCCCATTTTGCACACATAAAACTGTAGGGCTAAACATAAAACTGTAGGGCTAAACATAAAACTGTAGGGCTAAACATAAAACTGTAGGGCTAAAGTACATCTTACACAGGAGAGCTTCAGATTTACTATATTGTTGCTTTATAAGATGCACCCGACCATAAGACGCACCTAGTTTTAGAGGAGGAGAACAAGGGGGAAAAAATCTCTCCCTCTCTGCTCAGCGCCTCTCCAGCAAAGCGGGAGGAGAAACGGAAGGGGCTCCATTTCTCCTCCTGCTTCGCTGAAGGGGCTCTGCGCAGCTCTCCCTCTCTATTTATTTTTTAAGAATATTACTCAAATGAAAATTTTGGCAGCAACTCCAGGGTTCCCAGCCCTACCCAGAGATGCCTAGGATTGAACCTGTGGCCTTTTGCATTCAAGACAGATGCAGTAACACTAAGCTACTGTCACTCACACAATTCTGGTGGCCAGGTGAAAAAGAGGGGGCAGGGCTCCTACGTCTTTAACAGAAGACATAGAAGAGGTAATTTCAGCTGTTTCAGTCATGCTGGCTAATACACCCTTTGCCACACAACTATTTAAGGATGCATAAGTGCCGACCTCTTTCCCCCCCTCATCATCCTGTGTGCAACTCATAGCTAAGAGGAATCTAGGAAGTTGCCTTAAACAGGGTAACACCATTGGTCTATCTAAGGTAAAAAGGTAAATGAACCCTGGACGGTTAAGTAAGTCCAGTCAAAGGCTACTATGGGGTTGTGGTGCTCATCGCACTTTCAGGCTGAGGGAGCCAGCGTTTGTCCACAGACAGCTTTTTGGATCATGTGGCCAGCATGACTAAACCATAGCTGTCAACGTTTCTCTTTTTTTTAAGGGAAATTCCCTTATTCTGAATAGAATTCCTCACAAGAAAAGGGAAATGTTGACAGCTATGGACTAAAACGCTTCTGGCACAACGGAACACCGTGATGGAAACCAGAGCACACGGAAACACCGTTTACCTTCCCACTTCAGTGGTACCTATTTATCTAATTGCACTGGTGTGCTTTCAAACAGCTAGGTTGGCAGGAGCTGGGACAGAGCAATGGGAGCTCACCCCGTCACAGGGATTTGAACAGCCAACCTTCCAGTTGGCAAGCCCAAGAAGCTCAGTGCTTTAGACCACAGTGCCACCCGCATCTACAATGACTGGCAGTAGCTCTCCACAATTTCAGACAGGGAGTCTTTCCCAACCTTACTTAGAAATGCCAATAATTTACCCCAGGACCTTCTGCATGCAAAGCAGATGCTCTACCATGGAGCTATGGGCCTTCCATTTTTCAATGTTGTTGTGGCAGATTTTTGAGCTTTTATTTGCTGCTGTCCGTTGAGCCACAGCAGACTGCAGTTCAGATTTTAAAAAGAGAGGAAAGGGAGATGCAATAATAGGACCATTTGCACAAGAAGTAGTTTGTGGTTTTAAGAGGGCTGCTTCAAATTGTGGAGGGCAGGGGGGGGCAATAAAATGGGGACAACCCCATTTTCCAACCCCCATTTCCCCCTGAAGTTTGAAGCGGGCGGGTGAAATGGAAATATGGAAAAAGCTCCTGGGTTTTGTTTCCATTTTTTCAGGTCCCTTGCCAGGCCTTCACATCTCAAGGACTAGCTGAATACATTTTGGTGCCCTAGTTGGACAATACAAAGTACAGTGGTACCTCGGGTTACATACGCTTCAGGTTACATACGCTTCAGGTTACAGACTCCGCTAACCCAGAAATAGTACCTTGGGTTAAGAACTTTGCTACAGGATGAGAACAGAAATCATGCTCTGGTGGTGCGGCGGCAGCAGGAGGCCCCATTAGCTAAAGTGGTGCTTCAGGTTAAGGACAGTTTCAGGTTAAGTACGGACCTCCGGAACGAATTAAGTACTTAACCTGAGGTACCACTGTACACCCCAGCCATAAAAAGTGAAACAAGAACTTTAAGATGCACTGACTGAAACATGTCCATTTGCTGCTATTGATGGCGCTCCAAATCCGCCGTCAACGGTATCGCTGTTTTGCTTTGCCTTACGGCAAGGTTGGCAAAAGAACAGTGCAAAACCACAATGCTTGTTTGCTTCTCTTCAATACATTTAATCCACTTGTTGCAATAGTGTCACATCACTTGACTCGATTTAATGGACAGTGACTTGCAACACTGGCTTACTTGTATGCTGATGTGCTGGGTTTTATTTTCTCTGTTACCGAACAGGTTTTGCATTTTGCCCTAAGGGGGAAATGATCTTCTTCTCCATGCTCAGAAATCTTCTTTACTAACCAAAACTAAGGGCAAAAAAAAAAAATTCCTTCCAGTAGCACCTTAAAGACCAACTAAGTTGGTCTTTACAGACTCCGCTAACCCAGAAATAGTACCTTGGGTTAAGAAATAGTACCTTGGGTTAACTTAGTTGGTCTTTAAGGTGCTACTGGAAGGAATTTTTTTTGTTTTGACTATGGCAGACCAACACAGCTACCTATCTGTAACCGAAACAAAGGGCTGGTTCACAAGGTGTGTTCCCCCACACACCTGACCAGTCCCAACTTAATGCTTGTGCAAATAAACATATCCGCGAACAGCTGTGTAGATACAGGCACGATTTCCATGATCTGCAGTGGAGGGCTGTCTGGTTCAGTGGGAAGAGCACATGGTTTTGGCATGTGGACGGTCTCGGGTTCAATCCAGAAATCCTGGATAACTGCTTCTGGCCAGTGTAGAGAGCAGACAGCACCAATCATGACAGGCCAGTTGTTGTGAGCTGGCAATAAATCACACCATTCGAGTTGTAGCTAACTCTTTATTAGCAAGAACACAATCTGCACCTTGGTGGAATGTCAGGCCTAATGAGCACAGCAATTCTTCTTCAGTAGGTCTTTCCCCATGGATCAGTTGCAGAGACTGAAAAGTCCCCAACTCCCCGCAGCTGTCTTAAGTCCCCTCCTTTCCAGGGCTTTTTCCAAGCAACCTGAGACACTGTCTGCATGAAGTCAGCCTCTGCTCTGCCCTTCGCATGCCTCTTCTGGTTATGGGAGTGCCAGGGGGAGGGAAGCTTGTTGCAGTAGGAAGGGGAGACATCAATGACTCTTCACCAGCCGGACTCATCTCTGCCCCACAGATCCCCTCCCCACTAAGCCCTGTTACCTCTTCAGTTTCCGACATCTCCTCTCACTTTTCTCCCTTGTCTCACCACCACTTCCTCGACCCTGACCTTTCTTCCCTAGCTGGTTCCCCCAGCTCTGCAAGGCAACAACACAAGCCCCAGTGGCATTTCCCACTCCTGCAAGGATCGGCTTTCTCTGAAAACCCGACACGCGTTTGCCGCATTCACACGTGTATGCAAAACTCCTTGGGCGTGAAAGAGCCCTGAGAGTGGGAGAGGACGAAGCTCGCAAAAGGAGAAGCCGAGCTTCGCAGTTTCCCTTTGCAGGCGGACCCTGGAGCAACAGGGCAGAGAGGTCTCTTCCCACTCCGACGAGCTGCTCGCCAGCCTCGCCACTTGCAGGACAAACCCCCGTTGGCTCGAGAGGTTCCCCCTCCCGGCTGCAGTGGGCAGGGCTGGAGCAACGTGGCGCTGTTCGGCCCCGTCCACTAGGCAGAAGAAGAAGGGAAAAAACTTCGGATTCCCGGAGACCCCGTAGGGGAACTTCAGCTTCTTCAGCCCCGATGGTCCGATCCTGCATCTTCCCCTCTTCCCGGAGCTGCGCTATTTCTGCGGGCGGCATTTCCGTCGCTGCCCCGGCGTCCGAGCCGCGAGCTCCCGATCCGGCGACTCCTCGCAAGCGCAACGGAGCCGCCTCGCCGGCGGAGGAGCCTCTGGCGCCGGAACGCGGAATGCGCCTCCTTTCCAGGCTGCGACCGACGGCAGCCGAGCGCTAAACTGCTGCGCGTCTCCGGGCTTGGCTCCGGGATTTCTTTTTCGCCTGCTTGGTCAGGCCGGGAAGCAAACTTTCGAGCTGAACTCTCTCTCCCATCGCCATGGGTAAGTGCAAGACCCTCCCTGCTAGGGACACAGAGTGGAGGGCAAAGGAGACTGTTTTGTTTTTCCCTGGCTTGCTTCGTGGATGGAGGAGGGGAAAAGCACAGCAAACTTTTCCCACTCGACTGCTTAATTTAATATAGATAGATAACAGGCCTAGCAGTTAGCTGTCTCCCTTAAGCATCTTCTTATTTTCCGTCCTGTCTTCTCCAGACTCCACCCCTGTGGTGGATTAAGACTCTCTGTACAATAATGCGTATGTGGGTTTGCAAGAACGCTTTAAAGAAAGATGCTCTTAGCAGAGGATTAAAAAATAATAATAACGGTGCTCCTCCTTCGACTTTCAGGTTTAGGGGTGAAAGGGGCTAAAAAGTAACCAAGAATTCCACAGCTCAGAGAAAAAGGAGACGTAGTTTTCCTAGTTAGGCTGTAGTCCTTTGCTCTGAAAGTCGTGGCTTTTCAGAGTAAGTAGAGCTGTTCGACCTATGTATATTTATTTGGGAGTGTGCCCTGTTAAATTCAGAAGAACTTACTTCTGAGTAAGCATGCAAGTCCTGAACATTTTTACTTGAAAAGTTGTCCTGCTGAAGGTCATGGGCCTTACTTCCAAGTAAATATGAACAAGCAGGAGAAAGCCAATTTAATGGTACATGCTTTGTGGAATTAAACAACTCTCTGATACTTGCCCAAGCAAAGTGAGGCCTCTGTTGTACTTAGCATTCAGTATGCATGTTTGTTTAGCAATGGAGTCCCTAAGAAGGTTGGATAGCGCCTTGCTTGCCTCCTTCTGGCAAATCCTGCAGCCAAGTTGGTGTCAAACGGTATTGCTCTGCTTTCCTTTGGACCACATCAGCAAGGGGGTCGGTGGTGGTGGTGGTGGTCTTGTCATCTGGGCAGCCAGGGACTTACTCTGGGGAGGTCACTTTGGTGCTGCTAACACAGCGGTTTGACTCCTGGAGGTGCACTCCATTGCCTCTTGAGACAGACGGATGCCAACAACTCCTTGGAACATTGAAACCAGAATGAATTTTGGTGCATGCACTGCTGGCGCCATTCTTTATTTCAAGTTGGTACATCAGTTTGAATCTCCTCTCCACGACTACATTTTATAGCGGGAGGAAAATTCAAAATAGCATGCCATATCTTTCTGGAAGACTGGAAAGGTGGAGAGAGATGGGTGCGCATGTTCAGGACAGCATTCTGCATTTCATTTTTTTTTAAATATATTTTTTGTTAAGTTTTCCATATTTTATTACATTTCAGTATCAAAAAATAACTTAAGACATTGCTTAAATAAAGCATCGACCTCCTTCCTTCCCTCTAACAGACTTCCATATTTCATCACCAATTTCTCCACATTCCTAAATTCACTTTTTTTTACCTTAAATCAATCTTTTAACAATCACCTACTTATAAGTAAATCAGCTCCTTAATTTCCCTTTACCAAACATTTCAACTTAAACCTACAAACGTATGCAACTGTTTGCAATTTTCTTTCATATAGAGTATAAATTTGCCCCAGTCCTTTTGGAACAAATCAACACAGTGATTCCAAATCTTCCCCGTCAACTTCGCCAACTCCACATATTCGACTATCTTTACTTGCCAATCTTCCAATGTGGGGAGTTCTTGTTGCTTCCATTTCTGGGCCAGGAGTATTCTTGCGGCCATTGTTGCATACATGAACAAATTTACATCTTTCATTTGGATTTCCTCAATTAACCCCAACAGGAAAGCTTCTGTTTTTTTGCTGAAATGATACTTAAATATCTTCTTCAATTCATTATATATGGTATCCCAAAAGGCTTTAATCTTGGAGCATGTAGCATTCTTTATTTCAAGTGGAAAAAAACCAAAACAAAACCCAGCTGGATCCACACCTGTTTTCAGGGGGAGTGGGGAGAGGAAATATTCAAAGCACGTTACATACTTCATTCCCAACTTACGGGGCAATCCTAAACATGTTTATTCAGAAGTAAGGCTCACAAAATTCAGTGGGACTTAGGGAGCTGTTGGTGGCCGGGTCTGGGGAGGCAGATTGCTGCACCTACCTGGACCCCCGATGCTGTTACAGGGTCAATGAAACCCAGGACAGCTCTTTCAAGACTTTTTGCTGTCTGCCAGCAATAAGGATCCTGCCTTACGCAGCACACCCACCCACTCACACATTCCGTAAGCAGGAGGAGGAGCTCTTTGCTAGCAGTGATGTGGAAAGCTAACACAGGTCAGTAGAGCTGTTGGACGGGTGTACTTCTGCCCAGTCCACACACACACCCCAAGCCCAGCACAAAGGGAGTGTGGTTTGTTCTGCCATACTTTAGGAATAGGATTGTGCATAGGTTTACATCCTTTCAGAAGGATTGCAATATTGGGGTTGGTTTTAGGAGATTAGAGCTAAATCAAGAAATTGTGTGGAGATTTTATTCTGAACATTTTATTCTGTTCTGCTGTGTGTGTGTGTGCATGCAGAGAGAGAGAGGGTTGTACTTGCCACTCGCTCCAAGCTTTATGGGTAGGTTGGCTGTAAATCTCAGTACAGTGGTACTTCTGGTTAAGAACTTAATTCGTTCTGGAGGTCCATTCTTAACCTGAAACTGTTCTTAACCTGAGGTACCACTTTAGCTAATGGGGCCTCCCACTGCCGCCGCACGATTTCTGTTCTCATCCTGAGGTAAAGTTCTTAACCCGAGGTACTACTTCCGGGTTAGCGAAGTCTGTAACCTGAAGTGTTTGTAGCCCGAAGCGTTTGTAACACGAAGTACCACTGTAGTCCTTAGAACAGTGATGGCCAAACTCGGCCCTCCAGCTGTTTTTGGACTACAACTCCCATCAGCCCTAGTTAACAGGACCAGTGGTCAGGGATGATGGGAACTGTAGTCCCAAAACAGGCTGGAGGGCCGAGTTTGGCCATCACTACATTAGAACACAGTCCCATGGGAAAGACCCTGATGTTGGGAAAGATGGAGGGCACAAGGAGAAGGGGATGACAGAGGACAAGATGGTTGGATAGTGTTCTCGAAGCTACCAGCATGCGTTTGACCAAACTGTGGGAGGCAGTGGAAGACAGGAGTGCCTGGCGTGCTCTAGTCCATGGGGTCACGAAGAGTCGGACATGACTAAACGACTAAACAACAACAACAACACCTTAGAACAACTCTGAAATGCCAAAATAGATAGAAACTTCTGAAACAAGCATGTGCCTGTTTATAGTCCAGAGAAAGCAAGGCCAGCACCCTACCGCAGAGGCAGGTTTAGGGAAGCACAGCTGGTTTGCCCACTGTCATGGAACCAGCTGGGGAACCACCAAGGAAAGAATTCTCATAGCCAGGGGATTGGTGGTGGGACAACAGTGTGTGGTCAGAGGGAGAAGACTGGGAAGAGGAGGGGGGGGGTCAGAAGCTGAAGAGGTAACAGGGTTCAGTGAGCAGGAAAAGTGTGTGGCAAAGGGAAGTCCAGAAGCAGAAGCAAGAGAGGAGGGAAACCAAGAGGCAGAGAGGAGTCAGGTTGGTGAAGAAGCGCAAGTATCTCAGCCTTCTGCTGCAACAAGCTTCTCCCCCCCCCCAATCTCCCAGAACCAGAAGAGACATGAAGTGGGAGGAGCAAAGGCAGACACGCAGATGCAATCTCAGATTGCTTGGGAACGACCTGGGAGAGCAGGAGACTTCAGCAGTTATGGGAAAGTGGGGACCCTCAGTCTCCACAACTGCCTCACAGGGGCAAGACCTACTGAAGAAGAGTTGCTGCATTCATTTGGCCAGACACTCCTGAGCCGATCCTGTTTTTCTAATAATTAATTTCACCTGTTCCATGTCATTTGCTGCTGGCTCGCTCCTGGCGCCAGCACTGGGCTCTGAGTCAAGAGGACGTTGTAGGGGGCACTGCAACAATGATGAACAGCAGAAGGCGAGAGGCAGGGGGCGCCGGATTTTGGCGTCACACGGGGCACCACTGAAATTTTAAAGGCCAAAGTCTGCCACTGTTTTTGGGCTTCCCCATATACATGTGCCTGGCCCCTGGATAGGACTTTGGTTTGATCCTCACATTGTTATGGACTCCTGCCACAGACTTCATGGGGATCTTCACTATAGCTTTGCCAATTATCTCCCCAATCTCTCTTTCTCCCACTTTCCTCTTAATACAGTGACTGATTTGTGAGTAACAGGCTGCATGGTAATCAAAGCTCACCAAACATTAGCAGCCAGGAAAGCAATGGGAATTAGAGGAGGATCTAATTGAATCAGTCACGGCATTCGCAGCAGCGCCGTCTGTGCCTAATACAGTTTGCAGGTAGGAACTAATGAAGCGTCCCAGTTTTCTGCAAAGCTCTTTTACTCTCCCTGAATAAATATTGCTTCTAATTGGCTACCTATAGACAAGAAATGTTTGCGGCAGCATAGGCAGCTGTACAGATGGCAGAATTTTTGCAGCGCTATGTCAGGAGGGGAATAACAAATAGAGGTAAGGCACTAAAAATAGCTTCGTAAATGCAAATCTACTTATTTAACAACAACATAATAATAACATGAGATAACAGACTGTGCCAAATGTATTCAAGACTGTAAATACCGTTCCACCATGAGAAATGTTTCCAATATTATTTCCAAAATATTTGCACTCTTTTGGACAGCATATTGAATACAAAGGGTATTATTGTTCTTAAAGAGATAAAAAACAACAACTTCCCAGCCTAAAGCCATTGAAAGGGTGAACACAGAATGAAAGTTACTCAAACAAGCTCTGAAACAATAAAACCATCCACAAACACTCTGAAACCAATGAAGCAATTTCATCAGATGAACGACAGAGTTACACGTCAGGGAAAGCCTTCCTAAACAAATATGTCTTCAATAGACACCTAAACACCATCACGCTGGGCACCTGTCTGATTTCACCTGGTGATTAACTCCAGAGGGCTGGAACTGCAACACTAAAAGCCCAGTTTCTAGTGCACCTGCTATGTGGCATATGATATTCTCAGCAATGCCTCTTCTGAGGAGTGCAGT